TTTTCCTGATGTGACTGAATGAAAGAGTGATATTTCAACTTTAAGATGCATTTTCCTTTAATCCACTAATGAGATTTATAAATTAAATGCATGAAACATTTAATTTCTCCTTTGCAAAAGTTCAGCATGAAATGAAAAGCTAATGAAACTGAAAGCTGGTAAATAACTTACTTGTCAAATATGCTAGCAAACTGACATGGGAAGAGCTCCCACAAAGCCATTTCTGTGTCATCTTTTTTACCTAAAGGAAAAATGTGATGTCAGTTTGACTCCTTTGGTCTAACCAGGTGATTATTGTCTGTGTGACTGTGCTCATCTTGCATGGCTCTGTCTGTTGTCTCCTGTCTTGTGCTGACACTGTAAAACCAGTGCAACAGCTGTGATTTCCTTCTCAGGCTCCATTTACTGCAGGATCTTAATCCACAGCTGGGATCCTGGGTTCCAGCACCACCCAAATATGTAGCACTGGGGGCAAGATTTCAGAAAGCACATCTTGGCCCAGGCCCTTTGTCACTAAATTAAATGGGAAGGCATCAGTGACTGAGGGTTTTTACAGGAAAACTGCTCTAGGACTCAGTTGTGAACATGAAAGACAGGTGAGAACTAAGGGGCTTTAGCATTTTGGTGCAGGAAAGCTCATGGTTTCTGCTCAGTACAACGAGCCATGGAAGACACACGCTGGAATGCTGCAGTCTGGCCTTTCACTCCTGGGCTGTCCTTCTGACCACCCTCAGACACACGTGTTGCTTATTATCCTTGTATCTTAGCATCTCTGTGTGCAGAGCAGAGCAACCACAGCAGCCTGTTGGGAAAAGCACTCTGGGATCTGGTGGTGGGAAGTGCTGTGGTCAGTTGCTGGTTATATCCGTGGGACAGGCTGCAGAGGGTACAGAGGTGTGAGGGCTGTGCAGCCCACCTCTGGCTGTGCTGGTGTTTGAAGGACTTCCACATTCTGGGAAATCCAGATGCATTTGGGTGTTTGGTTGCATCATGGTCCACCCCTGCCAGACCAGTGAGGGGGCTCAGAACCAGGACCCTGCTGTGCCATCCCACCATTGTACAGTGCTGCAGGCATGGAGCACTGCACTGCTTTCCCCAGAGCTCAAGGTCACCAAAAGCTCCCTGTCACAAGGTAGTTCCAGTGTGACATCACAGAGATAATTTGGGTCTGAAGCTGTGCTAAAACAAACAAGCATCCTCCCACTCCAGAGCCCAGGGCAGCTCCATGTGCATATCCTGATGGCTCTGCAGGAGTTAGCCTGGGTCTCCTGGGGCTTATAAACTTCTCTTCACACCTGCCAGGCCAATTCCAGACTGACACATGCACAGTCACATGGCCTCCTCCCCTGTGAATTCCCCAATAGATGTTTCATCCAGGTTTTCCAGCACCTCTTAGATTATGGAAAATAACCTGTAGAAGAGGAAGGTAGTATTACTATTTTAACTGTGTATTTATGACTTCTATCTAAATTCTGCAAGTGAGTAATCCCATGACCGAGCATAGGTGTACGCTGCTTAATGCAGAAACCTTTTGTACTTATCAACCTTAAAAAACAATAGCCTGGAGGAGTTCACCTGCAGTTATCCGAAATCTTCTCCGGCCTGACTAAAAAGGACCTTTCTGAGAGTGTTACAGAAAAAAGAAATCATGCCCTTGGGTCTCCTACTGCATCCTAATGCTGATGCATTAAATAATAACTCCCACTGTCACCGCGCTCTGATGTCATCAGGCTCCCAGCTGTATTATATAACTTTATATAGCACGATTAGTCATATGGCCTTTTCTGTGTTTGACTGCCTTCTCACTCCTAGGAAGTTATTTCAAGTCAGCAAGCTTTAGGAGAACATAAATGTTTATACAGTGGAAAAATCCATAATGATAAGGGGCTGGTTTAAAATGGGGTGTCAGAAGGATAATGTTTCACTGGAAAGAAGGGGCAGCCACTACACTCCTGTTCTTTGTTGAGGAACAGAGCTGAACAAAGCTACACCAGATTTCCCTGTGGAAGATAAACTTTCAAGCAGAACTAAAGCATGGAGTGTAAAATGCGTCACAGACACCCTGTTTGTTACCTGATGATAACACACGTGTGATATTCAGGCTGGATGGCGAATGTTTTCCTCCCTGTTCTTGCAGGTGGTTTGCGATCATGGAAATCCAGTTGTTCGTTGTGCTGTTCCTGTACAAGTATGAATTTGTGGCGTTGGATGCAGTACCAAAGGAGGTAAGAGTTTCCATGCAGTCATATAGCATTCCCCATCTTTATATCCTCCATTCATCAGGCTCAGCTGAACAGCCATGCTCAACTGTGTTTATGTATAATGAAATGAAACTTTGAGAGGAGTGTTATAAGACATGTAATGCGTAGCTCAGTGTTTGTTTGAACTCAGAAAACCCAGAATAACTTCAGCAATTCCAGTTAGTAGGGCTGCACTGTCCATACAACAAGAGTATTTTGTCTCATCATTGCCTAAACATCACCAGACATTTAATAATTGCTTTCTGCCCCTCACAAAAACAGTAAATATGGAACTGGATCATTAGTACTCTAAAATTATGGAATCAGATGCAGCACTTGCAGTTCTCTTCCACTCCATATTCAGTGGTGGAAGGTAAATCATTAGGGTAAGACTGAAGGAGTAACTGCGACACAGAGAGGTTTTATCACTAAGGGAGAATGGCACAGTCTCCACTTTATTATTTGAATATTTTGAAAATATTCAGAACTGTGAGAGCTGCTTAAGAGCTCTTGTGTCATCCTGGCAGAGTGACTGGAATAAAAACTAATCACAAAGGCCTTCCTCAATGGCTTTGGCAAAGCCAAGAAATACTCTTGGTATTTGGTTTTGGTTCTATAAGACCAAAGCTCCAAGGATATGTTTATATCTTAATACTGAAGCATGATAATGAATCCAATAACTGAACTAACTTAAATGTTCCTACTGATTTTCTTCTCTCTGCAGAGCCCTTTACACTTGGTGGGGACGCAGCAACCCATGGCACCATTCCGGGTCCAGTATAAATGCTGGGAATAAAAGCTGCCCAGCACTAACCTTCCTTTGCCATCCCCCCCTGGATGGATGAACCACTGAGCTGCTTCCCTATCCTACACCTACAGATAGGTTTTCTGCCTGAAGAGTTCTTAATTTCAACTTTGAATGCTGCACATACTCAATATTCACATATTCAGTGCTGAATTGTGCTGTGCCATACCAGAATAGTTGTACCTGTGCTCTGCACCTGGTTACCCACCTCCTAGTGCTTACAATCCAAGCTCTCCTGCTGCATTCATAATTTGGGTGGCAGTTATTCACAGACTTTGCAAATCTGATATGCTAAGCTTGCCAACCAAACATTCAGGACAAAAAGCTGCAGTGTTCGGAAATCCTGCGTGGAAGCTGTGCTAGAATAAGCTACAACAAGCAGGTTGCTTCAAACCAAGGCCAAAGTGGTGCCTCATGCTAAGAAATCAGATTGGTAACACTGTACATCTCCCTGGTGTTGGTGTGCACAAAATCCAGGACAGTCTGAGCAGAGACCACCAGATCAGACCCACAGCCTGATAAAGTATCATGACTTCTGTGCCACTGCCTGTGTGGGTAGGTGAAGATCTGGCCTGCTCTGCCTGCAACAGGGGCCAACTTTTTGCAAATAAAATGCATTTGTAATGGAAAAATTGTAATCACTTGGGGTCTTGTTCCACTGGAGCCCCTAAAATTTCTGTTGAGCATTACTTGTTTCACAGGATTCAGGATCGGTCCTTGCATGAATATGCAATGAAAGTTTGACCGTGATGTTCAGCTCCCAATAAAAAGTGATTGCAAGAAAAGACTGGTTGTCTAATATCTAGAACACTTTTGCTTTCCCTTTCATATGACTTATAGAACAAATTGCACAAATCCAAGAATATTCAATCCTATAAAGAATACCTAGTAAAGGTTTTTTGAAGGAGCTGTCAAGTAAGTTCAGATAACACTTTTGCTGCTGTCAGATTTCATGTACAATAATAGCTGGCATGTATTTTTAGTCTTTAAAGATTATTCATCATTTTAAAACTATTTGCAGAAAAAAAAAAATCCCACACAAATAGACTTTCAACAACAGTAAAAACTATGGGAAAAACAAGCATAGGAAAATAACACATTGTACAATTCATTACGTGGTTGGCTTACCTTTGTTATGGATAGAACAACTTCAGTGATTTATATGGTTGGAAAATGATTCATCCAACTTCTAATTTAGCTCATTAGTCAACTCTGCAAGAGTTGCACTCTTAACTGCTGTTTCAGTGTCTCTTCCAAAACTGAGATCTATTCCCTTGGTTTTTGTGCGTGGTATTACCTAAAGTGTATATTCTAATTTTAAAATTTGGCAATCATTGCAATATCTGTAAGGCCAGGTGGGACAGGGCTTTGAGCAACCTGGTTTAGTGGAAGGTGTTCTTGCCCATGGCATGGAGTTGAAATCAGAAAATCTTTTGAAGGTCATTTTCAACCTAAACCATTCTGTGATTCTGTGGTTTTATGTATCTGGCAGTTTTGCAAAGTTTTGGGTTTTTTTCTCCCAAAAGCACATTGCTTTTTATTTTTCTGTTTAATTGATTTTGGGGCTTGGGGGTTGGTGGGTTTTTGGTGGTTTGTTTTGTTTGGGGTTTTTTTGGTGGTTGTTTGTTTGTTTTTTTGTGGTTTTTTGTTTGTTTGGTTTGTGGTGGTGGTGGTTGTTTTGTTGTTGTTGTTGTTGTTGTTGTGTTTTTTTTTTTGTGCATGAGATTTTCCTGTTTGTGTTTTTCGTTTGTGTTGTTTTGTTTGGTTTTGTCTGTGTGATTCGGTTTGGTTTAAAAAAAGGAAAATTACATAATGGCAAACTTGACTTTAAAGGTAAAAGGTCCCAAAAGGTCAACATCGAATTGGTTAGAAAGAAAAAAAGGCAGTTGAAGGCACATGTGAAGATTTACAAACACATCATGCACGTGGGTTCCAGTCTGTTCTAAACACACTCACGTTTTGGGTGTAGTTTCTGCATATTGCTGAGCTTTTCAGACTTGGTGAGATCTTGTGTCTGCTGAGAAATACATTCTTCTTCCTTCCCCATCCCAGAAAAATAGCCTGTGGGAAATGCCTGGGAATGTGATAAACCCGCATTTACCCCCAAACACAGAGGAGCAGAGAAGCACAAGCAGGTGAGGACCCTGAGGAGTGCCCTGCCCAAAACTTCCCAGGGCTGGCCATGTCCTGGGGTGACACCCAACAGCCACAATGGGAGCAGTTCCCACTTTTTGGGCTGAAGGGGAACACTGCCTGTGGGTATGGGACACATTGTGGGGTGCAGGAGAGGAGCAGCTTGTGGTTGCACAGGATTTCTTATGGGATGTTTAGGGGAAGAACCAGAGGTGGGGAAAGGGGAGCATTCAGGTGGGTTGGGAAGGAACAAATGTGGAAAAATTGAGGAATAAGGGGATAAAAGAGGTTGGTTGCATGTACACAGGCTGCTGAGTGCTTGTGCCAAGTGTGTGATGTGGGCAGGACACTCTGTCCTGTCTCCTTACACTCTGTTTTCAGCTCCTTTCCTGGGTGAGGAGCCCCTTTAATTGTGCACATTGGGTGTGGGGGTGTGAGTGCAGCTTCCCAGAGAAGCTGTGGATGCCCCATCCCTGGAAGTGTTCAAGGCCAGGCTGGATGGGGCTCTGAGCAATGCAGTCTAGTGGAAGGTGCCCCTGCCTATGGCAGGGGGTTGGAAGAGATGATCTTTGAGGTCCCTTCCAACCCAAACCATTCTGTGATTCTGTGATGGTTTTTCTATATATTTTGCACTGTCAGACCTTCACCTTGATGTGCCAGAGCAGGGAGCAGGATGAGGCCATTGGTGCTGCTTCTGTGAGTGCCGAGTGTTTCTACATCAGTGCATACACACATTTTACACGTGTTTTTGTGGATATGCCTGCTGGGAATCCATGTGCAGCCTCACTGCAGGCTGGGCCCAGGGCTGCAGCAGCCTCACTTCGGTGAGGATACAGGACTTAGCAACTCCCTAGGCAGTTGAGAATCGGACATGAAAATATCTGTCCTAAAAGGCAGGACTTATTTTCATTAGAAAGGTAGGTATTTGGTAGGAAACAAGTACCTGTCAGTGGCAGAGAAATACCAAAGAAGCAGGTAAAGAAAAGCGGGCTTGGCTCTGGGATCCCATCAGTGCCCTGTGGTGGATGACAGCTCCAGGCACTCGCTGTACTTTCCTAGGTGGAAAAAACAAGGGAGATGGATTAGTAAAGCAATGTGGTGGTCAAGTGATAGAGCTAAATGGGGTCTTCTGCCTGGAAATAATTCAGAAGCTTCTGGGGGAGGGAAAGTCTTTCCCATGGGACAGGGTTAAATGGGAATTAAAAGGTCATCATGATACCCTATGCAGGAGTGGATTAACAGTACCTAAATTATTCTTCTTCAAGTGTTTATCCAATCTGCTTTTAAATACAGCAGTGGTAAAATTCCACAGGTTTTATCCACACCACTACCAAAAGTGTATGAAGCAAGAGATTTTTAAAGCCCACAGAGGGAAAAAAAATAATGTATTCTGACTTATCTTTGTATTTCTACCTTCTGTATGAAGTATGGATGTTAAAGGGAATGCACTGGGACATCCCTCAAAAAACATCTTACAAAATGCAATTGTTTCTCCTCTATATATGCCAAAGGCCAGATCTACCTGATAAATAATTCCAATATCTAAGCCAGTGAAACAATGGTAGGAGTTGTCTTAAAGAGAGAGGAAATCTAGAGTTATGAGAAATTCCTTTATTAATTTTTCGATTTTATTTATATTAATGAAGAGTTTCAGGAGGGGAAAAAAAAAACAACAAGGGAAAATAAAGGGGGAACTATCACGTTGCAGCTAAACCTTTTTTTATACTTTTGAAGAAAGTATAAATATTTTCCCTGAAATCATAAATTTCCCTTGGAAATATAAAACTCATGAAAACATTTTGAGTTAAAATTGTTGACCTACTGCAAGTGAATCTTCTCCAGTCAGCACAGTGAGAAGGTGACGCGCCACATCAGCAACCACCTCCCAGAATAATCACAACTTCTTTCATGTCTTCCCTCTAATGAGCCTCCCCGAAGGCCCCTCTCATCTGTACTGAGCAGTCAAGTATTTCAAGTGGTCTCTTTCTCTTTTCTGTGCCACTGATTGCCACAGAACCCAGAAGTTTAGGCTTAGCACGAATGCCTCTTCAAAATAGACGTCCGGGGACTAAAAGATAGGGCTTTGGCCACTGAGAGGTGAGCTAAAAATAATTACTTCCTGCCCAAAAGAAATTAATTCTAAGGCCCTCACTCTGTGCTGGGCTTAAGCTCAGTGCCAAGCAAAACTCGACTTAAGCATGTGTTTTGCTTTAAACAAACACTTAAAATGGATTTGCGGAATAAGAATGGATTTTGGTTTAAGCACAGGCTTAAGTGCTTTGCTGAGCCAGGGTCCAAATGCCTCAGCCCCTAACCTGTTGTTTACAGTTAGTCTTGGCATCTGTGCTGTAATTTTAAAGCCATATGGGGGTTAGTGGAAACACTGAGGTGGCTTTGCTCATTTTAGGTGAAACTGGCAAACATTAAAGGATTTTAGGAAGCATTTATAGCACAAACCAGTGGGCTTTGTTGGCAGCAAGCATCTTCCCCAGTTATTTGGTACATTCTAAATGTGTGGCTCATCACATGGCAGAAAAATATTTCCTCTCAGCCGGTACGTGGTGGAAGGGGAATTAGACACAAGAAAGGCATTCAAAAGATAGCAAGCACTTAATTGCAACAACCAAGGAGAGTCTTTCATCATGTGGCCATTCTGAATGACATTGGACATGCAGCTGATTGTCACGGCGTTATTTGTTTTCTTCACTTTGATCATAAAATTACCAGGAAAGGCTTAATGGAGTTATAAATATCTTGTTTCCATGAGAGTCCTGGGAGGATAATTATAGCACTGAAGTCTTTACAAAGATAGAGCATTTATAAAATGATATTATCTGAGGACTCCAATGCATAAGGCAGGGAATTCTGCCCTCTATGTCCAGCTCTCCTATTGACTCACTGTGCTGTTTGGGCAAGTCACTTCATCCCTCAGTTCCCTCACCTATACATTTGGATAATAATAACAATTACCCACTGCTGCAAAACCTCTATGTCTTAAAAGTTTTAAGTATTGCTCCCACTCATCAGAGCACTTAAGCCTGGTTATGGATAGCAATGGGTGTCTGGAAGGGTCTGGATAATCTATGTGCTTTCCTGAGATGTGATCCTTGTAAATTACATTACTTGTAGGGTTACAGTCAAAGTATTCAGGGGATATATTTTAAATTCATGCTTTTTAAGAGGATGATGAATGAGCTGTAGCCCTCCAATCTTTAGAAATACTTTGGTTTTAATGCAAAGTTTGGAATTTAAAGACTATGGAAAAGTTTCTTGTTGAGTAAATATACAACATCCTTTCATAAAACCAACCCCTACAGAGGAGTATAATCTAGAATGTCAAGTAGCAACAACTTCTGAGCAGGAACTACACCGATACTCTAACTTCCCTAAGCTGCACCAGGCTTTTACTGCTTTGGAAACTTCATACATCATCTTTCTAAGTGTGCAGCTTTGAAAAAGACAAGCGAGGAAGGAGTGATGGCAAATGAGCAAACAATTGGGCCCAAGGCCCAGTGGGATACTATGCCTGAAGGGGAAAACATGGATTTTGGGTATGAAAACAAAAACTTCAGTGCTGGAGAGGAGATCCTACATCCCCACTGATAGCACTGTAACTGCCCTGGCTGTGATTCCAAATGGCTACTGATAAATTTGAGAGAGATCAGAGGTGAATCAGAAAGTTGATGGAAATGTTGCTAAGCCTGCCCAGCTTTGGAGTCCATCTGGTGAGCTTAAGAAAGGGAATGCTCAGAAGTGACTTGAGCACAGCCTGAGGATACCCAAGTTCAGTAATGGATGGGACTTTGGAGTTTGCTCTGCCTTTTTGCAGTGAACTGAAGTAAAAATGAGCAGATTCCCACCTGAAATGAGGTAAAAATGCAGATCAGGAAACTGAATTGCTTTACCAAGCACTGAAATTACATTTCTAAGTTAATAGTCCTGACAACAAAATTTTTTTCCTGAAACAGAAGCTTTTGAAGGTGTGTGCATTCCTGGGCTGGAGAGAGGAGGGAAAGGCATCCTGATTGCTTTTCAGGAATCTGCAAAGCATAAATCAGGAAAGTCTAAAGACATAAATTCTCTATACGGGTATTCTGCTTCCATAAAGCAACTTCTAGGTAGTCTACAAAGGCAGGAAAGATCTCTTTTCTGAGGGTATAATACTCAGATCAAGTAATCAGAGCTGGGCAGAGAAGCCTAAATGTAAGGAGGATCATGTTCTTTACAAAGCGTAATTAGGAAATGGAAAGACTTGGCATTCCCTTTTTCCTGGGTCCTTGCTCAGAGACAATAACCAGTGATTTCTGTGAAGATCTGACCCAAAGAAGAGCCAAGTGAGGCTCTGTGAGTGTAGTCCCTTAGGACTGCATGCCCTGACTCCTCTAGCTGTGGAGTCTTGCACTGGTAAAAGAGTGATCCAAGTTGAAGATGGGGCTCTGTCACACTTTCTCATGTCAAAGGTCTCAATTGTACACTCAACTCTTTGAAATTAAACACAAAAGTTTCACTGGGTTCATAGTGTTGGTTCTTTGTTACTGTTGACATAGAGCCAGAGGCAATTTCAAGGCACTGGCCTTTTATCTGGCCTTTATTCTGAAAACCATCATTGCTCAGAAAAAGCATCATGTGTGTCCTGTTTGCTTCATACCAGAAGAAAATCAAGGGCTTTCCAGTATCATGACATGGCTCCCCAAGTGTGATTCCCAAGTTAAAATTAATAGATAAGCAGTGCAAGATACTTAGAGTTCTGCTCTTTAAGTAATTCATTACAGCTGAAGATACTGCCTTTGATGCTCTTCTGTCCAAATCTTGGTATTATCATTTACTATTTTAAGCTTGTTTATAGAACTGGAATAATACACAGATAAAAAAGGATGATTACAAGGGCGTTTTCAGGCATTAAAGCTGAGGTTTGAAGTTCCTTTTTCTGAAAAAATAAACCAAATAATGTTTTACAATCTGAAAACCTGGCAACTGGTCTTTGCTTTCTTTGCTTACCATGAACTGACATCAAGCACCACTTTGTTAAAAGCCAGTTTCATCACAATGATCTGGTTTTTTCCTTAAAATAATAAAATGGCCCAAATCACCAAGTCTGTCCTTTGGGTGTTAAGGAACATATTCAGCTGAATTTTTCTTACAGACTCTGGCCTTGAAGCCTGGTTCAGAGGTTTTGTGGACGTGCACAGTTTGCACATGCATGGGTGTGTAGGAAATGAGTTCTCTACAGGCCCACAAGCCAGGACAAATCCAAGTGGTTTGTTGCAATCACTAAAACATCTGCCCTGAGCTGCCACACCTGCCAGCATGGATCTGCACCTGACAAGGCACATTTATCCCTCCACATGGAGACGTGCCAGTGTTGGCATCTTCATGCAGGGGTCAGAGGTGGAAGCTGGGCAAAAGGTGGGAGCTTGGGCTGTCCTGCCTTCTGGACTCTGAGCAGGTGAGACCCTGGGATTGTGCTGTGCCACTGGATGTCTCGGTGGGCTGCCTGTCTGAACAGGACACCTCTAGTACAGGCTCCTTTCTGCAAACAGATTTACATAATGAATTCATGGCACAGCGGGTTTCTTCCCAAGGTGGCATCCCAAGGGCACAATCTAGACTAGAGGCCATGTTTCATCTTCCCTTCCCCTTCTCTTTTAACTTCCATTTACTGTTCCTGTCCTTCCTGGGAACTTCGCTAGTGCCCTTTTTTCTGCCCTTCCCAGCTCAGCTTACATTTTCCTTCAGGATTTTCAGATAACCAAGCTGCCAAATAATCTAAAAAGCTTAAAGCTGGAGTGCAGCACTGCAAGGTTAAGCCTGGCAGATCGGTCCCTGGGTAGGCCAAAATGCCTGGATGGACATGGCTACTTCTTTAGGAGCCCTGTCCCACTGCTGGGAGAGCAGGAGGAAGGAGTAGAGTCTTCCCTCCAGCCGATGTGGAAGAAGGACTCTCTTCAGAGGTTGCTCTGCCGCAGTGACTCAGTGCTGTGGGAGCTGTGACTGCCCAAAAATATCTGTGTCACCAGGCCCGTTTCCATTTTGCCATCTCCAGTGTTCACCTTGCACAAGGGCTGGCAGGACAAGGGCACTGGCACCATCCAGGGGCCAACTGTCAATCGCTGATGGGATTTTTAGAAGATCAGGGCTATGATATATAAAAATAATAAAATAAGCATAAACACAGATAAAGCGTATGAGCAAAACATATCTTCACAGAAGTGTTGAAAAAGTAAGTTTTTACTTCTAGGCATAATTTAGGCTCAAAAATACAGTCTCAATTGTTATTTATCTGCTTGAGCTGCTTATTTTCTATTAACTGAATGTGTATGTGGTGCCATGTGCTGACTAATAACTCATCATTCACAGCCCTCTGCTTCCTATGATACTCCATTATGCCTTCAATAGTCACCTAAAAGTGTCAGAATAATGAATGAAAATTTCAGCAACAAAGAAAAACACAAAAAGCCTGAAGATTATGGATCACACTTGAAGAGATTGAAATACATAAATTGTTTTTTTATGATCTCTCAATATAAATGAAGCTCCTTAAAATGACATTTTGGAAAGCCTTTCTGTGTCAATCTCTGTAATTGTGGATAAAGATTAAGAAAAGGCAAAGAAATCTACTACAGTGCACTTCTCCATCAAACCTGTCTAGCACAGCTTCAGAACTAGGGCTCTGAAATTCTATTTCTCAACAATTAATAAACAATAATTACCACACTATTTGCTTTATAGGAGTAAATTGTGTCTTGCAGTGAATTGCACTCTGTGGTCTTCTAATTAGCACATATAAAAATAGAATTTCTAGTAGCTTTGTTTTCTTAGTTGTTTACATTCTGAAGCAAATTAATTAATATATTCATAAGCTCAGTCTGTATTTAGATACCTAAATAAGCATCTTGATTTTTCAGAGCACCTACAACTCTGAGAGTTACACAGTGCTCCTGAAAACCAGGCCATTTATTTAGGTGTCTATATTTAGGTACATGAGTTTGAAGCGTTTGGCTTGAGGTCACATAGCTATGGCTCATTGCATTTTTTTATTTCCATTTGGGTCACAATGGGCAAGTCACTTCTAATAATTCTCATCACAAATGTAAGAAATAGCAGGATAGGTGGTAAGAATTACTTACTAAAAACTATCCTGATGTTTAGCACTTCCTCAAATACATGAAGTTTCCTTCACGGTGAATTAAAGTGTGAAAAACAGAAATCAGTGCATCACAAAAGTAAGACAGGATGTTTAGAGGCTGAACTTATGCTGTGGTCAAACTGTGCTCACATCCTGGATTTCATTTGTCTGGCATCTTTGTCATTCCCTCTATAACATTATGATCACTTGAAGAGCCAGATGTTTTAGCTTCCTGTATTTTGATTGGGTAAATCCTAGAGACCAAGTGCTTCCACTTGTTAACACATGGCAGAAAACCACAGTTTATTCTTGAGGAATTTGAGCTGATATCATCAGTTGTGCTCTTGAATTGTGGCTACCCCTCCAAGACTGCTTTTGAATTTGCACGGTAGCTTGTACAGGCCTCTGCCTGAGCAAACCAGTTATGGAATAAACAGTCCAGGACTCTGCAGAGAGAAGATCACTGGGAAAACATGAAATTTCAAAGAAACAAGGAACAAACTAAAAACCTTCTCATCTCTCAGCAGCCTCACTCAAATGGGAGAATTTATACCTGGCCATCATATTTCGTATCTGAGAGAACTGTGCTTGTACTTTAAGGATGTTGTTTGATACAGAACAAAAAGTTTGCATTCTTCTTTCTTGAAGTGGAAACTGTTTTAAAAGTCAATGAAACACACTTTCCCCCTTGATCGATCATGCATCTAGGCTGAAAAAACATCCCATGGTTAAAAATATTCCTTAACCAGAAACGGGGACGTGTCATTTTTGTTGTCTTCAAAACTCAGGGTTGGCTGTAAGATGACAAAGCTCCGTTTTGTGCGACTTCACGTTAGACGGGGAATTTTGGAATGTCAAATCCAAAAGACCTTTTTTCAGGTAACTCTCGCTCTCAGAAGTGGATGGAAAATGTGAAGACTCTTTGTTCCTGTTCTCATTGCCTTAAAAGACACAAGCCTCCTGTCTGACCTCTGTCTGCCCCAAAGATGCTAAGAAACAACACGGATATACCAGAGGTAGAATTTAGGGAGCAACAGAGCCAAATGCAGGGGTTCTCCCACTGGTTACCAGAACAGCGCCACAGGTTCTTGTAGAATCATAGCATGGTTTGGGTTAGAAGGGACCTTAAAAATCATCTTGTTCCAACCCCCCTGACGCAGACAGGGACACTTTCCACTAGAACAGCTTGTTCAAAGCCCCATTCAGTTTGGCCTTGAACACTTCCAGGGATGCAGCAACCACAGCTTCTCTGGGCAACCTGTGCCAGGGCCTCACCACCCTCACAGTAAAGAATTTCTTCCCATTATCTAATTTTAATCTGCTCTCCTTCAGCATAAGACCACTGCCTCTTGTCCTATCACTCCATGCCCTCATGAAAAGTCCCTCTCCAGTTTTCTCGTAGCCCTTCCAAGTTCTGGAAGCCCCCTTTAGGTACTTAATTATACTTGCCTGACTCCAACATACTAGATTTGGAGAGGCATCCTTGTGCACAGCTGAACCATGTGCTTCTCTGCATCCCCAAACCCCCAAAGGAAACAGCTCTGCTCCATGATCAACATTGCTTGTGGAGTATCATGTGCAAGGGCACTGCAGGCACTGACATTTTACACCAAGTGAAGGATACTCTCCTATTCTGGAGCAATTTTTCATTTGTGCAATTATTATTCTTGTACCCAAAACTGAGCAAAATGCTCTGTAGATTAAAAAAACAAACAAATAAACAAAACAAAACAGAGAGATGGTGTTTGCTTTGCACATTACTGTGGGGTTTTTTTTCTGTAATATGTTGTAGCTAAGCTGCTTTGCAGTTGCTGTGCACACACAGGATGGCACTGAAGAGGTGTCGAGGCAATGTTGTCTCACTGCACTGAGTGACTGGGTGATAAATTGGCAGATGAAATTCAGCAGTGATAAGTGCAAAGTAATGTACAGGGGAAAAAAATAACCCCAGCCATACATACATAGGCACTTTTTCCAGCTACCACTTTTGCTGCAGGAGACCTGGAGGCTGAAGTGGAAAGGGCTCCAAAAATGTCAGCGTGGGGCTCAGAAGTGATCAAAAAGGGGAACTGAATGTTAAGAATTAGTAGCTCCACCCTGAGGTGTCAAGGAGACCACCAAAGTCATAGGACTCTGTCACTCAGATGCTCAGAATTCTTCCAAGTCCCCTGGCCAGGCAGCTCTTGTCTACTCCAGATCCAGCAAAATTCAAGTCATTTTAGTAGAATCAAAGTTTTAAAGAAAGTAGTGTTTTCTTGTAAAATTAGAAAGGCTAGAGAGAATGGCAATAAAGTTTCCCACTGAAAACAGAGAAAACCACATGAGCTTGAAAGAGAGATAGCTGAAGGGCAATCCAATTCAAGCCTGGAAAATAATCATAGAATCATAGAATTGTTTAGGTTGGAAGAGACCTTAAAGGTCATCCAGTTCCAACCCCGCTGCCATGGGCAGGAACAACTTCCACTAGCCCAGGTTGCTCCAAGCCCCATCCAGTCTGACCTTGAACACTTCCAGGGATGGGACAGCCACAGCTTCTCTGGGCAACCTGTGCCAGGGCCTCCCCACCCTCACAGTAAAGAATCACTTTCTAATTTCTAATCTGAACCAGCCCTCCCTCAGTTTAAGGCCATCCCCCCTCATCTTATAATGATGGTGAAAAGGTCAAAACAATAAATTTACAGCCTCTATAACAAAGCAACACTTATTCAGAAATAAGACTTGAACTTCGTTCTACACAGCGAAGAATTATCCTGTCACAGCATGTTGAGGAAAGAAAAACCACAAATAGGGCTCAAACTCCTAGAGAACAGGACCACTGGTAGTTCCTAAGTGGAGTAACTTGGACACAACCCTGAGTTCCAGAAATCCCTATCTCACTAGCTGCTGAAAAATTACAAGGTAAATAGGAAAAGAATACAGGGTCTATTTTTACACTGATTTACTAAGCATGCAGTCTTAGCTGCTGGAGACAAAACACAGAGCTAGATGGATCCAACTGTGTTTTTTATATTCTAAAAAAGTAACAGAAACAGTCAAGGGTATGATAATGCTGACAGAGTCAACATTAATTTTACTTGCTTTATCCAGTCTAATCTCCAGACTGAGCCATTTGCAAAAAATCATAATCCATTTCTGGCCAAAGAATGTGGGATTATCCCAGTGAGCAGAAATGTAAAAGATGAAGTACTCACTTCTTGAGCATGCACAGATACAGATTTTGAGGCATTACTTACTTGTTTCTTCCGAAAAGAAGAAACTTTGTCACCCAAGCTTCTGCGAGGGCTGCAGGACTGAAGCAGGGCGTTTGTATTTTGATGATAAGAAATCAGAGTGAAATGATGGGGCGGCGAAATCTTTTGGTCAGACTGCTTCAGTTGCGTTGAAATTCACCATGGCTGCTTCAGCACACTCGAGAGGCCACTTCTGCTTACAGATTAAATCTGGAGATAGGAAGCAGGTGCAGACTGAAGATAATGAGCAGCTCAGGATTTGGAGGAGATGGGCTAAGCTTGTGCTCTCGGATATCAGTAACAAACTCCCACTCAGTTCTGTGGGAGCAGGTCTGCAGCACTGTTTGCAGATCCTGCAAGTAGCAGCTGTTTCATCACCTCCTTTGGTATCCTTTCCAGAATTACAGCTTCCTCCAGGTTTTGGCGCTCTACAACTACTTGGGTTGTGGGAAGATGCCTGCAGCCTTTAGGAAGCACAGGGTGCGTGGCCTGAATAGCTCTGGGGCTCGTGTGGCTGAAGGGTGAGACTCCAAGAAGGACATTGTCTCAGTTGCTCTTACTCTCTTATTTTGGCAACACCATTTTTCTGTGTCTAAATAATACATTATTTTGTGACTTTTCCTAATAGAAATCTTTAATGCTTACAACAGGGGATAATAAAACCCTGCTATTGTTGCCATTCTCTTAACTATCTAGTTTGAAGGACATTTTACTGCAAACAGTGGAATTTAATTTGTTTTGGTTTTTTCACGTTTATCTTAGCAATAATGTCTGGATGCATATAAATCCAAAGTGCTGACCTTGACATTCCTCATTTTTCCTGAACATGGATTAGCCTGCTTTCATAACTGTAGATATTCCTATTTTACTGCAAGGAAAACATATGCTAGGGCAACTTAATCATAATGAAAATACTCTTCCCAATACAAAAATTAATAAAAATTGAGGGAAGCTGCTGTGCACATTTAAGATGATGGGGATATGAAGACACAAGGAAATTGTATAACATAAAATGCAGGACAGATAAAGCACAGTGGATGCTCTTCCTACTCAGAATATTAAAATAACACATCATGCTGAGGGAATACATGTAAATGGAGACAATGTAAGATATCCTACCAGGTTTAATTCCTAAAACAACAACCAACAAGGATATGGTTTGATTTAAAGCCTAACTAGTTTGTATTGTTACATCTTTGGTTCCATAGCTTGCTTTCTCTCCTGCACAGTGCCTAAAGCAGTGAGATCATGGTCAGGGATTGATATTTTAGGCATAAGGACGAACTAATAATAATAAGTTACCTATTACTATTAAAAAAAAAAAAAGAGGAAATGAAGCAGAGCACCTGAAAGCAGCCTAAACCAGACATGCATTGAGACATACGTTAGTCCTTAGTTAAGGGACCAGGAAGAAACTCCTCTGTTGCAAGTAGAACAATCTCCAATGCATTGCTCTTTGCTATTTGCACAGATGAGGTGGGATATGCTATTGATTTCAATCATTACACCATTTTTTTTCTGCTATTATAGAAAAGTGCTGCTATAAATGGCACACATCTTTTTATATATTTTTAACTAATGGAGAATTATTCCTTATATAGATTTTTATTGGGTATTTAATAATTATATGGAAGTCTTCTAGTTCTTCATTACATCCTATAGATTTTCAAAGCCATCTTTACAAAAACCTATTTACATTTCCGTATCACCCTATTGATTAAATCCCTCTGTATTACATTCCAAAGCAAAGAGACCACAGAAAATCAGCATTAGCCTTTGACACTGAGCAGCCTCGGATGTACAGCTGGAAGAGAGAAAATAGCCCTTCCTTTAATAAAGTGTGCCTTGTGGGCATCTGAGGGCTTTCTCTTCTTTTTAAAATCATGACCAGCATCAGCTTTTTTTCCACTGTAAACGTGACATTCTTTAAGAGTCCTACAAATGTACCTTCTGGCCTCGTCTGCAATGTGGAGATACACCTTAATCACCTGTTAGCCTGAAGAAGGGATGAGCAACAACTGAATCCATTCCAGCTGGAGCTCACTGCAGAGGATAGTTTGTGTGTCAGTGGTCAGAGACGGGAATGGTCTGGGGACCTCCATCCTCCGGAGCAATCAGCCCCCTTACAACATCCTCCCAGGGGGCACTTGAGTGTTTGTCACCAAAACCACGGCGAGGTGCGCTGGCACTGTGCCCCCCCCAACTTCTCTCTGTATTCCACCCCTCCTCACTCCCATTCCATCCCATCCCATCCCATCTCAACCATCCTTGCTCCCATTCCATCTCACCTCTCTCCTATCTCCACCCTCATTCCACTCCACCCCTCCTCACTCCCATTCCATCCCATCCCAGCCCACATCTCCCTCCTCTGTCCCCCCGACTTCACCCCACCCCACCTCACCCTCAGTGTGGGAGGAAGCTCCCTGAAGAAGGGGAGCTTTGCCATGAGGACACAAACTGCTGCTTGGTTCCTACCAGCCTCTGCCCCTGTTCACCTGTGCTGCACAGCCCTTGCCCCGGCTCACCTGTCTCTTGTCCCACTCCATGTCCCTGCACATCCCCTGTCCCCGCTCACCTGACCCCTGTCGAGGCTCACCTGTTCCCGCACATCCCCTGTCCCTGCACAGCCCCCCTCCCTGTCCCCTGCCCTCCCTCCCTCTCTCCCTGTTCCCCTCACCGTCCCCTCCTCTCCCACAGACCCGTCGCGGCGCCGCGGGACCCGAGGGGCGTGGCCAGATGCACGGAGGAGGCGGGGCCAACGCGCTTCTCGCGTTCCCATTGGCGGCTCCTCCTGCCCGTCTGGGCGGGGGGCGTTGCTGATTGGGCCGGCCCGTCCTCCCCCTTGTCCCGGGCGGGCGAGCGGCGCTGTGGGCGCGTCGGGTGCTGTGACAGCGACAGCGGCAGCGACAGCGCGGGGCGAGCGGAGCCGCAGGTAAGGGCAGGGCCGCCGCCGCGGGGGCTTCCTTCTTCTCCGGCGCGGCCGCGGCGCTGCCCCCCGACCTGCGTTATGCAACCGCGGCGCGGCCGCGCTCACCTCGGGGCTCCCTCCACCTTCCCGCGGCTCCCGGCGCGATGCGCGGCCGAACGCGGCTCGGGCGGTGCGTGCCCCGCCGGGATGCGGAGGGGGCGGGAGCGGTGGGAAGGCGGTTTGGGAAGGCGGCTTGCAGCGGTGCGGACCCGGAGCAGGTACTCGGGAGCTTCGGGCTGGAGCGCGCTGGGAGCCCGAATCCCTGCGGGAGACTCCGCACGGGCTGCGTTGAACTTGGCTGCGGCATCCAAGGCGGAATGGCTTTCGAGTGAAAGCAGGTTGATTTAAATTACGTATCAGGAGTAAATTCCTTACTGTGAGGGAGGTGAGGCGCTGGCAGAAGTTGCCCAGAGAAGTGGTGGATGCCCCACGCCTGGAAGTCCTCACGACCAGGTTGGACGGGGCTCTAAACAACCTGGTCTAGTGGAAGGTGTCCCTGCCCATGGCAGAAGGATGGGAACTGGATGATCTTTAAAGTCCCTTCCAACCCAAACCATTCTGTGATTCAGCGATCCCACACCAATGTAATTTGACGTTTATATAACAGGTAGCTCTCCAAAGTTACTGCTTTGTTCAGTTTTTTTTTCCCCACCTCTCCTAAATTATTTTGCTTCTCTTTAAAATCCTGTGGTCCTTTACTGCTTGAGTTTGGAGTTTAATGAAGTTTCTTAAAAAGAAAATATATGATAGCTTTATGCAGCTGAAAGAAATCATATAAACGAGAGATGGAGTTTAATCAGGGATTGTGATTTACATCAGCTTCTGCCTTAGGCTTTCAAGTTTTGCCCTTACAAATGGTTTACTCTTTGTTTAGCTAGTTAGAATGTCTCCTTTGTAGGAAAGGAAAACTCTTTTTTCTATGAAAATACATAATTACTGTAAAGAAACTGCTGCATTTATTCTTGCAGTAAAACTAAATTATTTGGTTACATGTCATTCCTGAACAGATGGAAGTCTGAATACTGTGAGAATATAAAACAATGTCAGAAACTGCAAACACATAACAGTAAGCAAGGACATAAGACGACTTTCTGTAGATGATCGACTCTGTTGACTAGTAACTGGTGCCTTTAACAGCAGGAACTGTTCCATCCTCCGTAAACTTCTGAGGAGTTGTCAGCTAGGTGATACAGTTTCTGTCCTCTTAAAAAAGTGGTAGTGTGCATTCAGATTCAGTGGCTTGGTCTGTCACTGTTTGTGTTGAAAATGTTTGTCATTGCATTGGTGTCCTTAATGGCTTTTTTAGGTTATAAATTACTCGTGTGTGCCAGCAGGAAATCCTTTTAGAGGAAAGTTTGGAATTTTATTCCAAGTCACTATGGTGCCTTGAGCCTCTTCTAGGAGTTAAAGCACTGTGAACGGTTCCTGTTGCAGGTAGTTCTGACATAGATGGTTTTTTCCCCTTCTAACAGGGAAGGAGAAAGTAGGTTTTGGTGAGAATTGGGGTATGGTTATGAATTTCGTGTTACAAGCTGTTAAACGAGTGTTCCACTGACCCCTGTGTGAGGTGACAGCTCTGGCTGAAGGCCAGTGTAGCTCTAATACCCCTTATAAAACGGGCTTGCTTTAAATAGATTAGCATAGAGGCCAAGTGAAGGTAATCGGGAAGCTTGTTCTGGTTTCTTTGTGTTTGGGGAAGGTTTGTGTTTTTTTTTTTTGGTTCTTTGAATACCTTAACGTTGCCATGGTAACTGTGGTGCCCGATTGATCGGAGCTCAGCTTCTTGACCGTAAGAACAGCACATAAAATCTTCACACCTGGCATTGGTTGCTCCAAAGCATCACCTTCCAGCTGTGTAATATGGTTGGAGTCTTGGCTTAGTTTGGCTCACCAGCATCTCCTGGCTTGTTTTCTCCAGGGTTGGAGATGCAGATGCTCAGCAAGCTAGTGCCAACTGAGTCCCTTTGCTGGTCACAGGATACATCCCTGGCGTGGGAGGCACAGCTGAACCTTCGGTGCAAATGTGCACATCTTGGGCTGCTTGAGCTGGCCAGTCCTGCTTTAGAGGAATAAAACTGAATAGTCCCTTTGGATGTTAAAAGCTTCCAAAAATAGTTACAAAGTCTCAGCTAAATTTAATACGGCTAGAATGTCAATGGAAAGGATTAGAACATTTAGGATTTGCACCAGTTAGCATTTAGAAAAAAAAAAAAAAATCAAAATCCTCTTCCTCATATCTGCCACTTTTGTAAGAGGAAAATTGGAGATTGACACTGTTTTTGTGTGGTGCCACCCAAA